TTTCCACACAATAAGCAATCTTGCTAAAATGCCAGTCAGATTCCCTTCTGTTCTGTTTAAAACTCTCCAGTGACTTCCCATCTCCCTTGGGGAAAATAATTCAAAATTGCAACTATTGAATGTGTTCAGTATACACTCACTGCATAAGAGGATGTGTATTAATCTAGTGCCTATTACTCATGAGAAACTGAACTAGATGTGTCTTTGTAGGGCTACAAAGGCAAATCACATTCTTTTCTTCCTGGGAGTTTATATTCTGGGATATGAGGTGAACTCACAGATGAATAAATTTTCAAAAAATGTTGTTTTTCCCTGGTCAAAGTCTGAATAAAGAAAGATTGAGCATAATCAATGGAATAGCCAGTTCTAGCTGGGTGGGAAGAAAGGATGGGGGCAGATGACACTGGAGTCACACAACATTACAGAGTGGTGAGGAGTGCAGAGAAGTGTCACCAGGCAAGAGAGCCATGGGAACAGAGGAGTTGAAGTGTGGACTTACTGCCAAGGAGCAGGGAGGGCTTCAGCATGGTGGGAACATAGGATACAGGTCAGGGGGTAGAGGCCAAAGGTCAAATTAGAAAGGTTAAACTAAAAGCCTTAAATGCCTTTACTTGCATTGTTGATCTTTTACTGTTGATCTTCTAGGCAATGGGGAGTCATTGAGGTTTTTAAGATGGTAGAGATTGGATTTCATTTATGTTACAGACAGGTCACTCTAGAAGCAATGGAAATAATCTATTAAAACATTCAAAGTCAGTTTATAAATAGTAAGGACTAGCATTTATTGGATGCCTACTATCTACCAAGCTTTGTGCTGAGTCCTTCACTTTTATTACATTAAATCCTCAAATCCACCTATGTGATTAGTACTATTATTTACCCACTCTTAAAATGGAAGTATTAAGACAGAGATATGTTAAGACCAAGGTCATATTATTAGTAGATTACAGAATCAAGGCAGAAACTGAGAGAATCAGACGGGGAAAAGAAATATATTAAACAGATAAAAGTTCTAGAATATAGGGTGTTACCAAAGATAAGTGGTGAGGGAGAATGGTAATGTCCCAAGATGCCCCCTGGGCTTGTCGTGGAAGACTTGATGAAGAGCAGTATGTATTATCAGTACATACTGATAATAGGACAAATTTAGAGGGAAACCTAACAAGGTGGTTTGAATATGTTTGTTTTTATGTGCTTGTAGGAAATCTGGGGAGCAGATAGACATACAGGTTTGGATCTCAACTGAGGGGTGGACCGTAAGATGCAGACCTGGGGGTCCTTAAACAGGGGAGGAAAAGTCATGAGGCAAATGAGATAAAACATTGAGTGAAAAGCATTTGGGGGTCGAATTGTATGTCAGCTAAAAGATACTGAAGTCCTAATCCTTCGTACCTGCGAATCTGATCTTATTTTGGAACTAGAAGGAACTTTGCAGATGAGCAAGTTAAGATGAGATGACTGGGGTGTCTGCTAATCCAGTACAACTCAGTGGTTATATAAAGGAGAAGTTTAGATGCAGAAACAGGTACACAGGGACAAAACCGTGTGAAGATGAAGGCAGAGATTGGGCTGATACACATACCAGCCAAGGAATGCCAAAGATCACAAGCAAACCACCAGCAGCTAGAGGAGGAAGGCACAGCACAGATTCTTCCTCACGGGCTTCAGAAGGAACCAACTCGGCTGACACTCGATCTCAGACTTCCTGCCTTCAGACCTGGGAGGTGATAAGTTTCTGTTGTTTAGGCCACAGTCTGTGGTCCTTTGTTACAGCAGCCCTAGGAAACAAGTACAGACAGGTAGAGGGGTACCTGTGTGTGGAGTACTAAGGGATGACTGGTGATGACCAAATGGAGACTGTTCATTCAAAAGTGAGTTTGCCTGTCAAAGAAGCGGGAATGGCTATTTAGAGGCTATTCCAAGGAAACTATGAGCTTGCAAATAGGCATGAGGTGTGAGAAAGGAAACACCAGCAGTTTGCACTGACCTAATCACAAATTACAGCCATGGAGTGGTCAGAGAACACAGAAAGCTGCTCATGAGAGTCCCTGTGCCCTGCACCATGGCAAACTTCGCCTTAGAGTTGGCACAGAGCAGTCACAGGCCCAAGGGAATGATTAAATCCATTCTATGTTTTAAAATGTTAGTGTTCTGCAAATATCATGGCAGTGGCAACATAGTTTTTTAATCTACCAAAATTATCCCATTAAAATAGGCAGAGCAATGAGGTCTGCAAAGCTGAAGAATCATGAGCAATACCTGCAATTATGGGAGTTGAAATACCCCTGTAATTACCTGGTGACAAATTAGTGACATCTTATAAGTTCCACATGATACCAATAACCACGCAGAAAAAAGTAGAGGGAAGACCTTAAAGGCAGGAAAACCCCAAACGCCCGACAGGCACTCACTGGGAAGTGCGGTGGATCGTGCAGGGGAGACTGGGAGGGTGTTCTCAATGATCCAAGGCAAGGTGGGTCCCAGGAGGCCAAAAATGCAGCAAAGTCTAATACTATCAGCATAGTCTAGGCCCTTAAACCTTATTAACTAACAAACTGAAGCCCCTTCAAAAACAAAGTTCCACACCTGCTGGGAATAGATTCCAAAATAAAGCAGGGCAGGGGCAACCACAAGAAATGAAAAAGTAGGTCCAAATAAAAGATAAGAGGAAGGAAAAGCAGCTGATAACAGAAAGTAACAAGTGACGCTGTCTTTTTCACTTCGTGAGAACAGCAGCAGAATGTGCTCACAAACTGTGACAGCAGCCCAGCTGTGCAGGCCCACTCATCCTGCCTAAAAGTACATGTAAACTAAGTTAATTTTAAAACTCAGCAGCAAGAAAAGGATAAAATTATTATAAGGAAAAGAGAATAAGAAAACTAATGATATTGCTACAGACAACGAAAACATACAGAAAAACCTATGCACAAAACAGATGGAAACCATAAGCAAATATTTCAAAATGAGCTGAAATTGTTAAAATAGTAAAAGCTATGAAAAAACAATATAAATCAAAATTTGAAAAAAAATGAGAAAAGTGAGTAGTAAAAAGTAATATTTGAAAAGAAGGATGATAAAACAACTCAATACAGAATTCTAATTAAAAAAAAAAAGGTCAGAAATAAAAACTCAACTAAAAGCAATGTGACCATATTCAAACACCATAGTTAGAAGATAAATAGAAGACAGAAAAGAGGAAAAATGTTTCAATCAAAAAGAAATTTGAGAGTTTATGCCTATAATCTCAGCATTTTTGATGGCTGAGGTAGGAGGATCACTTGAGGCCAGGAGTCCAAGATCTGCCTGGGCAACATAGTGTGACTCCATCTCTACAAAAAAAAGGAAAATTGGCAGGATGTGGTGGCGCATGCCTGTAGCCCTAGCTACTGGGGAAGCAGGAAGATCACTTGAGCCCAGCAGTGTGAGGCTGCAGTGAACTATGATGACACCACTGCACTTTAGCCCAGCAGAGTGACAGAGTGAGAGCCTGTCTCAAAAAACAAATAAATAAATAAGTTTGAGATGAAAGGATTCAAGAGAAACTGATAGTCAAGAAGATAAGGAAGATACAATATCTATAATAAATGAGTCCTTGAAGAAGAAAACCAAAGCAATGGATTAGAAAGAAAATACTGAATGCTATCATTCAAGAAAACTTAAAACTACATATTGAAACTTGAAGCTATATAGTGAAGAGGCATACCACATTACTCAAGAAAATGATACAGAACAATCAATATCAAGATGTTGTTTCTTAATAAAACTGTAGGTCTTTAAAAAGAAACAAAATATGCTTTGGGCACCCAGGCAAAATGATTAAGTAGCTTATAACAGAAAGAATATTAGATTTCTATCAGACTTTTCCATGACAGCACTTTATGCCAATAAACAATGAAGTGACAGATTTCAAATGCTCACATAAATAAATTGCAGATTTGGATCTTTCATGGAATATAATACAATATTCTACATCCATCCAACCTGACCTTTCAGTGAAAAGGTTGTCTGGGCTTTTCTGCTCTTGCATTTCCTTGCTGTATGTAAAATCTTTGCATCGGGTAAACACAGTTAATTCACAGACTTTCAAAGTAGGCACCAACTTCCAACTAAAAACTGTGAAACTTTGTGATCTGTGTAACCAAAGGAACCTTATCCCCACTGAGTGCACTGATAACCACACACTGTTACAAATATGTAAGAACTCGGGGAATATTGTTCCTTTCTTGAGGGATCTACTAGAGAACAAGCTTCAAACAACCAAATATTGTAGAGACATTAACTAAGAAACTGGAGAGATATTCCAACTAATAAGTACAGAAGGATGATCAACTCGGAATACACCATTTTGCAACTCTGATTGCAATATCATCAACAACTGATAATGTCATAAAACAGAACAACAAACCATGACGTACCTCCCAATGAGAGTACACATCACCCACCCAAAAGGATCAAACGTAAATCTGATCAAAATTCTAACACTAACTACCCATCTATCCTTTGCAGAAAACACAAAGGATAGATATCTTAACCACACCAGGCAAGTACAATCATTAAAATCAAGACAATGAAAAGTATGCAAGAAATAAAAGAGAAATGGAAGGAGAATCCATAGTGTAAAAGAGACTTAAGATATGTATTAAATAGTCATCATGTGTGGACCCTGTTTGAATTGCATTTCAAACAAACTACTAAAAAATTATGATAAGCAGGAAAATATGAACATTGAGTATTTGGTAATAAGAGATTATTGTCATTATTTGTAAGTGTGGTGATAGTATTGGCCTTTGACGAAGACTAAAATTCATTCTTCTCAAAGTGAGCATTTAAGCACAGTGTACTCTTAAACGGTTAACTTTGGGCTTTAAACTACAGCCACCAAGGTAATTATCCCATGTGCGTGCTTGCATAGCGTGGCTCGCAGAAAAGAAAAACAACCCTGGAGCTTGAATTATAAACTGTCGCTCATCTCTTTCTTCTTCTCCATGTTTTCTTTCTAGGTATTTCCACACAATATACTTAGGCATTCGAAGCCGACAGAGTGGGGAGAACGACAGATGGAGGTTTTACTGGAAGATGGTGTATGAGTATGCCGATGTGAGTATGCTGCACTTGCTAGCCACCTTTCTGGAAAGTGCTCCGCAGCTGGTCCTGCAGCTCTGCATCATCGTACAGACTCATCACTTGCAGGCCCTCCAAGGTAAGGGCTTGCAATTGGGTTTCTGAATTTGGGGAAAGATTGACTGGCTATTTTTGTCACAGTCCAAGGAACTGCTCTAATGCACTTTATCGACAAGAGGCCTGTTATATGTCTGCTGTTTTACATGTGATTTGTGAATGATGCATATTTTCTTCACCATTACTTGTTTTAGTAGGAAAAAAATCTTTATGATTTTATGCTTGGTAAATATGTGAATAGTGTCAGTTATCTGAGGCTTTCTGGTTTTTATGATAAAGGAATTCCCAATGGTTACAAAAAAAATAGTAGCTATCTCTCTAATATAGGTACCCTAGTATATATATACATTATATATATATATATATATATATATGTAATCCCTACTGTTTCCTTTCAACATTAAGAAATGGAGATAGAGAGAAAGAGAGAGATTAAGAGGAGACTGTAGGGATTACCTCAATATTCAAAGAAAGAAGGTCATATGAGGAAAATGTTATCAATATTTAATAATACATACATACTTCAAAGTTTTATAAAGTGAATATTATTATCAGATTAATATTTTTGTATTTTGTATTATTGGATGATCTCATCAGTAAGACAATTCCATTTATAACAGAGCTGCCCAGATGTTTCCCTAGAGCCTGCTACTCAAACCCTTTCTAGAACAAGGAGGCAAGAAAATGACACAGACTGGCCAGTAGAGAGGTGACTAAACAGGGTGGGTGATGGATATAGGCCATGTTCTACACAAAGCATTTCCTTATGTTACCTGGTTACCATCTTGTATGTGCTGGTTTTGTTCAAATCTCTGTGAGTCCCTCTGTGTACAAACATGCCACTGCCATGTTCTGGGTCATGCTCCGACTTGAGACAGGTTTGGTCTGTGGAATCTCCTCAGTGTCCTTACAACTTTTTATAGCAAGGAGCACTTTAGCTTAGGCTGAGTGCTTTAATTTGGGGGAGAGGGTCAGGGTGCATGTTACCTATATAGGGAAGGAAAGAGAGGTGTCCTGGTAGCCAGTAGCCCATTTGTTCTTAAGTTGCTGGCCCAACCCTGGCTTCATAGCAGAATAGCCTTAGTCTAAGAAGTTTGAGAAGAGGGCAAAAGAGATCCCTGGTATGTGCTTCTCAAATGCTAGAGAAAAAACTGGAAGAAAGGGAAAGTGGTATCTTTGCAAAGAAAGGGAAGAGAAAAGCACAGAGAAGGAGGGAGGCTGTGTGAGTTAGTTGTGGGTGACTGTGGTTAGTTGGGATTAGCGGTTATAGACCGGGTATGTGGAGGCTCTGGCTCTGGTATTCTCACTACCTCACCGTAAAATCCTGTACAAGCCACTTAACCTCTCTGGGCCCAGTTTTCTCAAATGTAAAGATTTCAAATTAAATTGGATGATGTCCAAACTCCTTGACAGCTCCATTCTATCCTTGAATCAATGAATGCCCAATAGGCATTCAGTGCCAGCTTTACGCTTTAGGAAATGGTCTGTAAACAATGATACAAATGAAATTAAAAGGTAGCATCAAACTAAATCTCTGTCAAAGAATCTGGTGTGCTCATCTCCAGGGCAACGTGACAATTCCTTGGAACAGTCACACGATCGGGAGCAGAGGTGGAGATTTGCAAGTCGCCTTCCTGTGGCCCAAGGTTACTGGGCCACAATACTTTTCTACTAGTTTTCTAAAGAATAGTTTTCTACTCGTTTCTAGTAGAGAAAACTAGTTTCTCTAGTAGTTTTCTAAAAGATTTAGAAAATTGTAGAGAAGTTTTTCTTCTAAAAATGATGGAGATACAGGAGAAAAAGTAAAAGACGGTCTGAGAAAATGAGATCACCTTTCCAGCTTGAGAGCTTTATGTAAAATTGTGCAGAAAAACAATGAGGAAAGGGCAACCCTTGGTCTTCATCAGAGTGTTCATCCTAAACATAGGAACCAAAATTTTTGTGTTTTTCAAGTTGTGGCTCTTCCCTGACACCAGATGTCCCCAGCTTATGGACTAAGCTTGACATGTTTACATCAGGCGTGCTACAGGCTGTGCATGCCAGCCCAGTCCCTGGCCAAGGCAAATCTTGCTATCAATTCCAGAACCCTGCAGGGAGACTATGGTCTATGTCACTCCAAGGTGGTCACAAGACAAGTGGATCCAAAGATCACTAGGATGGATGCAAGGCATTGAGTGTAAGATAGGGAATAAGCCTACTAGGTTGATCTTATTGATGCTACTCTTTTTTAAGAAGGGAGGTGGGTAGAAGGTTGTGTTACAAGACCAAACAGTGAAAACACCTGAGAGTAAACGACACCAACAAACCTTCCAGCAAATGAGACTGGTTGAGGCAACACAATCTGATTTTTTTTTTTTTTGAAGAGAAACCTATCTTCAGTGTAAGAGCTTCTAAATACCCCTCTGCTGCTAGATAATCCCACTTACAAATGAACTGGCTTATAAATTAAATTGAAGTAAGTTATAAGAACAGAGCTTTTCCCCTCTAGGAAAAGAAAAATAAATGTGATGAAAGAACCTAGTCTGACATATATTTTCATACATCTTTAGTGGTAAAAAATCCTTAGGATTTAAATGTAAAAACACAACTTTCTGCTATAAATGCAAATAGTCAGTAGGCATGAAACCTGTGAAGTATTTGCAAACAGCTCTGAATTAAAATTAAAATGTTCTTATTCAGCAGGTAGAGAATGGTCCTAAGTCTGCAAGTCATTCTGTATGTGACAATTTCTAAAATTACTATTTTTTAGGATAGAAATAAAATTGTTTTTTTAACCCAATTTCAACCATCTACCCCTCTCTGAAGGACACTATTTTTAAAACAATAAGAAAATCAAACAAGAAATATGACATTTTAAAGCCGATGCTAAAAACCGTATCCTCTTTATGGAAGTTGGCTAGCCCTAAAACGCTGTTAGCTGTGAAAATCCCTTCTCAGCTTTCCTTCCTTATCGAGCCATTAAGTCAGACATGCCACCTTGTGCTGGAGGTGACAAGCTTAGGGGAGAACTATTGGAGCATAATTGTTCCTCAGTTTGTACTGGCCCAGGAAGGACAGTTTGGCCTCTGTTCTAAGACCAGGAGTCAGGGCAGAGCTGTGGCTCGAAACTAGTCATCCAGTTTCTCTCCGTGTTGTCGCCGTGGACACATCGTAGGGCACTAGCTGCTCTTCACTCGACCTGGGATTCCCCGGGCCCGCTGCCTCTGGAGTGCACGAGGCACGTGGTGGTCTGACCGCACGCGCGGCCGCAGCCGCACAGGTGGGGTGTGCCTGCGCGGCCAGGGAGCCTCCAGCTCACGCGTTTTCCAATCCCATTTCCCGCCAGGAAAGAGGGAGAGAGCAAGGGGGAGGGGTGGAGAAAGAGGAAGGAAGGCAGGAAGGAGGGAGGGATGGAAGGCGTGATGGAAGGAAGGATGGAAGGAGGGAGGGATGGAAGGAAGGATGGAAGGAGGGAGGAAGACTGCTCGACAAGCAGAGATGGGCCACGGCACACCTATTAGTCTCCACATAGTGGACGCCGCTCTTGCCAGTGAAGATGCTCGCCGTGTGGCCCGAGGTTTATCAGTTCTATTTCCAAGCAAATGCAAACCATTCCACCTCATTTCTACTGCACTCCCCGATCAAACTGTCCCCACTCCCACCCAGGCCCCTGCGGCCATCCTGCTGCTTCATCTTGTCCTGCTCTTTTCACGCCATTCTCCTTGTAGTGGTCTGAGAGGCCATTTGGACTCTATTTACCCCCCAAACATACTTAAAGCCCTCAGTGTTCCCCTTAGCATTCACTGAAACTTAAAGCAAGATTCCTGAGCAAGATACAAGGGCCTTTATATCCCTGTGTTCTCCTCATTAGTCCCACTCTACATCCACACTGCCCTCCACGCTCTTCTGGAAATATTACCATTTCTTCTGCACCTCAGGGCATTTGCACGTGCTGTTAACCGCTCCAGCATATTCCCATCCCCTTTCCTTTAGCCTGGTTCTCACTCTCATTCTCACTCTTCCTCTGGAATTCAGCTTAACTTCCTCAGTGACCTTCCTGACTGCCATTCATGTTTTTATTCTCGCATCAGCACTTCCTTGTAGCGTCCTCAACTTTAGCCCACCACTTCAGGCAACTCTCCTACTGTGGCTCAGCCTCAATTTGCCCGCATGCACTGGAGGATAATGATAGCATCTGCGTCACAGGATTGCAGTGCTTAAATGGTATAATGCATACAAAGTGTTCAGAAAGACCCGTAGCGCGTAGCATAGGGCTTCTCAGACTATCACGTGCATGACATCTTACCAACTCTTACCAAAATGCAGATTCCGACTGAGTAGATCTCAGATGGGACCTGGTTTTTAGAGCAGGGAAATAGCATGTGAGAATTTGGTGGCATGTGAAAACAGGAAGAATAGTCCAACTTTGAGGTCATAAAAATTAAGAGCTCTGTGCTAGACAGGAAGTGCAGAAGCACTGTGACGAGAGAATGGTGGGTTGTGTGCAGACAGGGCGTGGACTAGGAGAGAGAAACCTCAGGCTGGAGCCTCTGTGACTGAGAAAGGCCCTGGTGAAAACGAAACCAGGCAGGTCAGGAGGGGAGGCCATTCAGGTGGAACATTTGAAGTCTGAAATGGTAGAGGGCAGACAAGTTAAAAAGTCTTGTGACTGCGAAAAACAGGGCTTAGGACAAGCCACTCAGGTTCAGAGCTTTGATCCTATCTAAGCGGCACAAGCAAAGGGAGAAGGTTAATGGTCGGAGTTATGCAGCTGGCCTTTTGAGTGACCTGGGAACCTGTAAAATGAGCAGACTGGGCTGGAGGGTCTCTGCAGTCGCATTGGGTTTTGTAACTGTGATTCTCTGAATACGCTATTTTGTTTGCATGGACCCGGCCTCCCACAGTTGGCAGAGATGACACTGACTGGTGCGCCACTGTGCACAGACCGGCCTTCCTGGCAACACAGCGTCGCTCGTGCTCCCTGAGGTCACAGGTGGCGCTGGGAACACACACAGGGCGGCAGGGACGTTCGCAGTGAGTGCG